AATGGGAGGAAGAGGGGAGTACGAAATGTGGACAGTTACATGAAGGATGGCTCTTCCTCCACACTGTCTCATTTCCCTTGGGTGGCTTTTAAGTTTTAAGTGGAGTAACCTTCCCATAAACGAGAAAGTCGGTTTGAAAATCTTTTTAAGTGTCGACAAAACATAGGTTTTCTGCAGCACGATTAACGTTAATGCAGAAAATAGATTTGTTTTGTAGTTGTGCTTACGGGGAAGAAAAGTTGGGCACGTAACCCAGTTTCTAATGTATTTGCGGTACATCAACACAGGCTTATTCATTGTTATTTTAAATTGTACTTTTCTGTTTTATTAGAGGCAGATAGACTTTGCTTGAAAGATCTCAGTCGTTTGGTCACAGATGAATTGAATCAAAGGCTAAGGGGTGATGCTGCTGCGATGGAAAAAGTCTCCCGGTTTTTCGGTTTAAAAGGCGATCCATTCTCTTTCTCTTTCCTTCCTATTGAAAATTCCTTTCCTGACACTTCCGTGAGCGTGTTGAAAGAATGCTTCGAGGCCTTGCGCTTGGAAGACCTCGCTGAGATTCTAGCCAAAGTGAAACCACGTGCACTTTGCCCTGCGCTGTCTCCGGAGGAGGTGAAAAAATTGCAACTCAGTGATCATCGCACGAAACACTATAGCAACATGGCTGTTTTGGTAGTTAATATCGGCAAGGAAAAAGGTATTGCAACAATGATTGAAAAATTTTTTAAAGATCTAAACCCAAGAAACGAAGTATGTGTAATACCGTTCACCAACCTGGACGAAAAGTATCTAGTGCAGAGGAACATCAAGCAGAAGGAGCGAGTGGTGATGTTCGAAATCAGCCAGGAAAAGCAACTCAGAAATCGGTTAGAAATCCAGCTGCCTGAATTAAAAAAGAGGATTGATGGGGAAGGTCAGGAGAATAGTGAAATCCCGGAAAAAGGAAGCATGCAGAGACTAAATCTGCGGATTTATCGGCCTCATCGGAAAGCACCGGTTAAATTAGAGTCACTTATAAAGATCGAAATGGAAGAACGCTCTCTGAGAGCAGAACTTGAGTACCGCGCAAAAAATATTGCGAAATTTCGAGAAGACATTAAAAGGGAAACTGAGTGGATTGAAGATATTGAAAGGGAGAATAGCAATACAAAGTCCGACTTGTTAACTGTCATGGACAAATGGATCCAAGATCAAGGTTGGTAAATTTGAACAAACGCTAGGAGGTGACTGGGAAAAGATTTTGTTTTCAAAATCCTTTCGCTCACCTCTGCCTTGTTTCTCTTTGTGTGCTTTATAAATCCCTCGCATATGTCCCATTGTAAAAGAGTCAGTTTTTCGGCGGTTACTCAGAGTACTATTTGCGTGGTGCAATACTACGCATTCTGGAAGATGGAAACCGTCGGTAACCGTACAAAACATTCTCTCTATCCAAATTTTTCAAATCAGATGTTTGAGGATGTATTATCTTATGATCAACGAATTTTGATACGTTGTATTTAAAAAGATGTTTGAATTTGAAATACGAGACCAGTTACCATAAGAAATAGTATTACAGGCTGCTGCGCATGTAACAATCTGATTGGCAGGCTATGGTGTTTTTTAATCAGGAGGGAGTACATGTAATACAAAATGATACAGAAATATCCATCTAAACATCAAAAGTTTTTTTTGTTGGGAAACTGATTTATTGTGGGTATTATATGTCTTATATAATAAGATGGAGGCAGTAGCAATGTCACAATTCAAGAGTTTGTTTCAATAGTAGATTCAAACAAGTAAGTTCTTTTCCAGAGACACATTTTTTTGCGCCAAGCCAAGCTCTTCCCCAAGCGTGAATCCCTCGCGCTAGCCTTGCTCGCTTGGGAAGAACAAAGATAGACTCTGAACGTTTATAGGTTGATATGCAGACCTTGACTTATTTCACTCCCTTAAGACCTGCAAATAAGTAATAAGATATTGATCCATTGCAAAAAATGCAATCAAAGGTGGGATAGCTTGCAAATGGCATGCCTGCAATGCTCCTCCGTAGCACATTGATTCAATTGACTTTCGTATGACTTCAGATGCAAAAGATTTGGCCCAATTGCAATATAGTACTTCTCACTGTAATGACTGCCTAAGTACTCGTTGCAAGGCGCCTAGTTTTATTTAGGCACGGGGATTTCCAAAACGCAGGGATTCCCAAAACACTGTAACACTACCAGACTCAGCGGACCGTGGTCTTTCCGTTTCGCAAGCGATAACGTCTTTGAACGTTATGGTTAGGTTTTACATTTCTGGCGGTCGCTTACGGAGGTTCGATTGCGTCCGCGGATTCATCATTTTGGATGATTGTGGTGATAATTGTAGGATAATTTTCATGATGTCGTAATTTTTTCTTTTTTTTGCACTCTTCTGGTTTGTTTCGTTTTGTTTTGTTTTTCTTTGCGTTTCCTTCTTTTAGTTTGTTTCTTTTCTAATTCAGTGATACCTTTATTGGTCTTCCATTGCAGGTGGATCTACCTTCATTGCGGTATTTTTAATCTGTTCTAACCTTGGGGCCACGTGTTTTTTTCAAGAACGCCTTCATGAATCTATTGATGAGAAATTGGCATCAATTCCAGAACATGGAAAACTCGTGGTGAGCCCTCCTGGATGGAAAACTATCGGTGAAATTCCCGAAATTCTCCATATAACGTTGGGGCAATTTCGTCACGGTTACGTCAGGGAAGGGGAAGACTACAATTCGCAGCTTTTCACTTCATTCATTGAAATTTTCAAGAAGCGTTGGCCTTCGTCGGACCTGATTTCAATGGTGAGAGAATTTAAACGGACTTGGCCACATCATTTACAATTGATGGACAATTTGTCTACACTGCCACGGTTTTAGGAGATAAACAAAGAGATTGTTGTATAGATTATGATTTATAATCTTTTACTGCTTAATGTATGTATGGACAAAGGTATTACTTGAACACTTTTACTCTGGGCGTTGATATGGACGTTCACATGGCAAGAAGGCTGGCCTTCGTATGACAATTTGATTTCTTATACTATTTAGCTAGCGGTATTTTATATCGCTTCTCCCTTTTGTTGTACGTGGGAAAGGTATGATGGCTTGAGGTAGCATATCTTTTCGAGTGGATTTGTTAGAACATACCTGAAAGCAAGGCAAACTCAAACTAGCTCTCCCTGCTTTTGGGTCGTGGGCCATGGCTCAGTTCGTGCTACACAGCCAGAATGAGGTAATGAGTGTTTCTGTGAATGCTCATTCTGCCAGAATGAGGAAATAAGTGTAGAGGAATGTCAGTAGGATAGAACATTCACTGTTGTCCTCTACTAATCTTTTTTGTCCGTATGTATTCGTCACAGTCTACCAAACCTCGCTTTGAACAACATAACATAATTCGGCGTAAATACATTGCCTACGTCCTTTTTAAATGCATCCTGTCAATGCTCCACCATCAAACATCTTCCTCACTGTTTTAGCTCCGCAAATGACGATAGGTAACAAGCATGGTTTCCCTCAAGAAGGACAGTGCACTTCAACGATACTTTTTCTAAGAGTTTTGTAGCAGCCCAATTGCGATATCGCTTTAAAAAGGGATGTGCAGTAATAAAAGGTACAAAAGACCGGCACTTATCGGATAAAATCCGTCTTATTTTACAAGGTTAGACTTTTGAACATTTTTCAATAAAACAACTTAATAAATGTGAACAGTATTTTGGAGACGAAAGGGAGACTTAAGACGGTTCCGCCTCCTCCATTAATTACTAAAGTACGCACTTAGCCTTAATTTAATTCTCTTCAACTCCTAAATGTAAGCATCCATTCTAACTGTAAAAGGACGTAGAACAAGAAGTCAGTGTTTCCGCTTATAACTAGCTCGAGAACAAAGAGTGCTTATCCTAAAAACCTCCCTAAGCGATGTTTTACCTGGGTGCAAAAACTGGTGAACTAATTCAAAAGTGTGACGCTCAAGCGAAAAATCAAGCGAGACTTCGAAAGATAGTTTAGCAATCAATTTTGTTGAAATGATACCATTAAGTCATTGTGACCTAATTTACCAGGAAGGTCCAGCAGACGGGTCAACCCCAGTGAAAAACATTTGATCATCGTACAAACAAACAATTTTCTCTAAAAAAGTGATCCTAATACTATTTACTTGCACTAAAACTAATGAAAAAATATTTATTATTAAGTTAACTTGAACGAAAACAAAATAAATCATCGTTCCCTAGAACGAGGTTATCGTAGTTATCATGTTCAAATTTACAATTTCTATTCTTCCCCACCCTGCCTAAGAAGCCCCTTTAAACTAGATAACCAATTCTAATTGACCGAGGTGTCAAAAGCCTTTCCTTCCCTCCCTTGTTATCAATCTAGTCCCCAGGCTGTGTTCGAGTGCTAGCCTTGACATTAAGCTTCCTGTACTTCAAACGGCCAGGCTAGATTAAAAACGAGTGAAGCCCACCTTCGAGAAAAAACCCAACAATTAAGCTAAAGGTGTTTGTTGTGTCAACTCGCGCGATGCAAAACAGAGCGTGACAAAAGTGAGTTAACCTGAGAAGTCCAGCTGGACTAAATAACACGCTCCGATTGACCGGCTTGTCAGAAACTACCCTCCCATCCCCTGAGCTATGAACACTCATTGAAACCACGAAACCTCGCAGGAGAACCTATCTAGGTATATCAAGAGCCGTTTAATTTGTTCAGGCTAGGTAACCAATTGATTAAACTGAATGGATCATCGTTGCACACTTCTTAAACTGAAGGATTACCATTTCTCATGAAATTGTTAGCTCGAATTGAATAAACCGGAATGAGGCAGAACTGTGAATTCGATGATCTACCATGAACTGCATTCTGGCTGGATCGTGATTCATCATGGTGGATAATTATGATGGATGTAAGCAATGCTTGATGTTCTAAGAGGCTGCTTAACCCAGAATTTTATGCAAGCCATGCCTGGACGGTTAATAGCATGGCATCGTTATGAAACCAGCATTCGTATAGTTATTGCAAATAATCAACCTCATTTTACCTCTCCTAAAATTCCTTGCGATGACTTGCATAGGGCCTGTCTAGCCTTACGTTTAAGAATTAGATACCTGACAAAACGCACACCTCTGCCACCTCCGTCAGATTGCTTGGGCTCCCAATTATTGGTTGAACTTCAATAATACAACTCACAATCACAACAGGTGGAAGGGTTTCCTCTCTACTAGATGATATACAAGTAAACAATGCTGTCTGTTAGCCTCTCATCTCTTTTCTTTACTTACAGCGGTACGAAGAAGAGTGAGAAATTCTAAGCGGATCGATGATCGCTGCGAACAATAGTTCTATTTTTGGATCAAGCTAGTAATTCTTCTCGCGTCTGTGAAAGGAACGTTTGCGATATCGGGGTATCTGCATTATACCACTTGCTAAACTGAGTGTATCGCCCCCGATTTTGTTTCCAAGCAAAGTGATCTTGATTCTGATCACGTGTGATTAACGTTCTTACGATGATGCTGATGACTTTTTTCTGATGGTGTGCTGTTCAGCGACGACTTTCAGAGGATGATAATTCTGTAAGTTCTTGCATTGGATGCGAATCGCAACAAAGAAGGAACATCTGGGCCCAGTTAAAGGGCGGATAACGCTATCCAACGGATAACTCGCTATCTGGCGGATAAGTGATAGCAAAACGTACATCGTTATCCACCGGACAGAGTGCTATCCAGTGGATAGCGTTATCCAACTTTCCAACAATCGGGGCCTGAACAATTGACTGAAATTCTATTTTCAAGGACTTAAATGGAAGAAGTCTCGATAATTTTTCATGACAAATATCTTTATAAATGTCCCTTCAGCTACTTAGACCCTATCCACCTTTATAAAACAAATAGGGATATGGACAAGTAGTTTGCGTGACGACGGTTTTCGAACGTCACGCGAGCGGATGGCGAGTCATCCAACACTACAAGACACAATTCTTCCGCCGTAGTCCGCCATGTTGGTCGACCGACAACCCTTAATTTGACTCTGTATTATCTTTGCGCCACAGAAGACCCATTTATTCAGATGAAATGTCTGAAATCGAGTATAGTGACCTTCTATTTGAGATAAGTACGAAAATTGGCGTAAATCAATTAGAAAGATTGGTTTTTATGTGCAGAAATCAGATCTCAAAAGGCAGTGCAAGAACGATTCAAAATGCCCTCGGATTATTTGAAGAACTTGAGAAACGGAATAACCTCGGAATCGATCGGTTAGAAACTCTAAAACAGATTTTAACACAGTTGAAGAACCGATCCATGCTCAAGAAGGTGGAAGAGTTTGAGATCAAGAGAAAAGGTACCTAATTGATATAGTCATTTATTTTGAAATCCAACAGAACTAATTTGAAATACCGTAAATGTCTTTTTGCTCGATGATTTCAATTCAAGGCTTTCTAGCTTCTTCAATGATATCAAAGGAAATTATTTCTGATTTTCTTGTCAAGAAGGTCTATGTATTAATTTGATAATTTCATTTAGCAGTAATTATTGCTTTAAAATTTTGTGTTCCCATGTTCCCGGTATCAGGAATCTTCAGTCATTATAGCTTTAGACTAAACCTCGCGAATCTTTTAATTTCAGCTCAGTCAGTTGGTATCATTGCTTCATTAAAGCAGGCTGCTGTCAACGTGAAAGGAGGTATGGTTTACAAGGGCATGGTTCTTGTTGATGTAAAATATTTAGGGCAAACAGGCATGGGCCAGATGCTGAGGACAACTAGCAGAAATGTAAGATGAAATTAAATAGTATTTATAATGATGTATGCATCACTGTCTAGCCCATTATGCATTATGACACAGTTCTATTAGAGTACTATGTCTGTGAAATAATTATGTCAACTCTTAGCCCCAGTTCATCTAATCTTATAGTTCCAAATAGCCAGAAACATTACCCTTGCAAAACCAATTTCCAGCTTTCTGTTAATTTCTGGAGCTTTCTAGAAGTTTCTAGAATATGACAGCTTTATTCCAGAATTCTCTTCTAGCTTTTTTCTAGAAATATTTTTCCAGTGTTTCCAAGTTCTAAGTTCTTTCAAAACCTGGAAATAGCTGGAATTAAATGCACGTATTCGCTGCTGCTAGAAATTGACAGCTTTTTCCAGTCTGCATTTCTTGCAGGAAACTGGAATAAGCCAGAAATAGTGAACAACTAATTTACATTTAGCAAAACTGAGAGAAATTTTCAGCTTAGTCAGTTTCATTTTAGTTTAAAGTCTCCATCACCTGATCGCTTGTGGAAAGCGTTTCCTCGATTTTAAGCTCATAATAGTTAACAAACGCTCGACTGAAGATTATTTCTTTTGAATGATTGTCACGAAATCATAACGACGTTATCACCCTTGCAAAATAAGACTGGAATATTCTGGTTATTTCTAGAAATTTTCTAGAAATATGACAGAAAATATTTCCAGAAATCTCTAGAATTTACCTGTTTTCTTTTCTGGAAAATTCTAGAATATTCTAGAATGTTAATGAAACATGCTAATTAGGGTAAAATTGGCCAGAATTTGCCAGCTTATCCCACAAATCACAGACTAGGTCATAAAATCAGCTTTTTCCAGCCTTTTCCAGCTTATTACAAAATGTATATTTCTAGAATTTTCTAGGAAATTCTTGCATGCTCCTTAAAGGAAGTAGTGATTAAGGTAATGTATCAATTTCCAGCTTTTCCAGCATATTCCAGATTTTCAAGATTTTTCAGCATTTATTCTTTACAGCTGCAAGGAATAAAAGAAAAAACAAATGAAAGCAGTTTTTAAAAGTAAAAAGCATGTTATATTTGAAACTGTATAGTGCAAAACATAAATTATAGGAGCAACTTCAGAATACCCGTCCACATCATTTACATGTGTCGGGAGGCTTTGAAGAATGAAGCATAACACAATAGATGCTATTCTTATTCAATGACATGTAAATGATGTGGATGGGTATTCTGAAGTTTAGCCGAATTTGGAGCAACTTCAGAATACCGTCCACATCATTTACATGTGTCGGGAGGCTTTGAAGAATGAAGCATAACACAATAGATGCTATTCTTATTCAATGACATGTAAATGATGTGGACGGGTATTCTGAAGTTTAGCCGAATTTGGAGCAACTTTTAAACCAGTAAAAGTAAAGATTTATCTGTTGTACCTTTCGTTTGTGATGTAAAACCGTATACTGTATTTTCCAATCATAACAAGTTAGAAAAAAAAAAGATTTTGAGCATTTTAACATTCCTTTAGTGAAATATCACATTTTGATAGTCATTTCTTCCAAAGGTGTAATCTGAATAAGATCTATGCTGCCATTATTAGGGCCCACCTAATGTGGAAACATTTCATGTCAGCGAAAGTCTGACTATAGTTTTGTCTTAAAAAAAAAATCACTAACAAGAGAAAATGGACATAAAGTATTAAGCTAAGAATAAAAAGAACCGTCAAATTAGTCAGATGACAAAGTGGATCGAAAACCTGTTTGAAGTCAAATTCTTAAGAGTTATGCTTTAACGAGCATTGATGTGAAGATCAAACCAAGGAATATTCAATAGAAACCAAACATATGTTGCACTTTCTACCGAAAATCAATGTAATTGAGAAAAATACTGGGTTTATAAACTCACCAAATACTGCAAGAACATGTCCGTTCCTTGCCGTGAACATTCACCTCCTTCTCTCACATTGAAGGGATCACGAACGATGATCTTCGAGAAACTCTGCGCCTCCACTCCCTACGATCTCTAGTCAACAACAACGTACTTAAGCTTGGGCATTTTCGGAAATCAAAACTAAACAGAACTCAGCTAAACAGGAGCAGACTTTGAGTGAAATGCACGCCAAGAACGATCACGGTAAAACACGTGGAGATAATGAATGTCAAAGCACGAATAGACGCTTCCACATTCAAATCTTGCGGAACTTTTGCTTTGATCATATTAAAAAGCTGCGGTCACTTCAAAGTCGGCCATAAATATCACATCTTGGCCTGGGTCGAAAACAAAGACGTGTGAAATTCTTCAGGAGCAACGTAATTGCTAGATCGTTATTCTTCTTGTTCACTTCCCGCCCACTCTACTCAAAC